CAGGTCCACCAGATGGGTGACGTCTGCGAGGAAGAACAGCCCAGAGCAGTTACTGGCTGGGTGCCTGGGACGCAGCAGAACCTCCTGCAGCTCTTCTGGCCCCGTGGGACGAGCGGCTCTTACGGCCACTTCTGCACCAGCTAGGAAAATGTTATTTGCTTCCTCCCCTCAGCGTAGTGCAAACTCAGGTAGGATCATAACGCCTCTAATTTTCTAAATTCTGAAGGTTTAAGCCTTTCCACACACAAACCCCATCTCCCCACCCCTTCCCAGCTCTAACAGGGTAACACGTTCACCAGCCCTTTTTGAACAGGTTGGGCTCTGGCGTGAGGATCTCAGCCAACCACAGCAGATTTGCTTTCCCTAAGAAGTTTCTTGTATTTCTTTTCAAGTCAATTCTACTGCTCACACAAGTTGCTCAGAAAAAAAAAAGTTTTCTGTCCTCAAATTTCTCCTTTATTGCTAGATCTCCACCACAGCTAACTTTTCATTGGGTTAGGTTTTCCTGAAGCCAAGCTGAAGAAAATTGTCCAAAGTCAGTACTTAAGCACCTCTGGTTGTCTGGAGTCAGGTAAAGATTAAGCTAATTTAAACAATTCTAGCTGACTGTGCTTGAGCAGGGGGCTGGACCAGATGACCCCCAGAGGTCCCTGCCAACCTCAGCCACTCCTGTGAGTGGGACAGCCAAGACCACTGATAGCAACCACACCCACACCAGGCTAAGTGACAAATCACAGCCCCTGAAGAGAACCACTTCCATCAGTCTGTGTGTGCTCAGAAGAGCAACTCTTGCACAATACCTTCAAAACCAGACATATTAAAGGGGAAAGGATTAGGATTTATTGCTGAGGTTCACTGACTGACCAGCTTCAAGGCTGTGTCTTCCATCACGTACTATCTGGGCAGCTGCTATGGGTCTTGCTACCTATCACAACAGCAGGCTCCACCTTGCTGAGTGTGACTGCTGAGGTACAGAGCACAGACCTGGGCTCACAGCATGAGAATTATCTTTAAAAAGTTGAATCTTACAGCTGAAAATAAAACTGTCTGAATAGGCTTGACCTTCATTTCTGTACTGGAGGACACGTGAGCCCCGACGATGCCGATCGAGCAGTTGTGGTCCTCGCCCAGTAGCAGGACTGGGAGCCCAGAGGGAACACAGCTGCAGGGATGGGTGAATTGGTGTTGAGTTTTGTTTACCCACTGTGCAAAAGCTGACGCTGCTGGTGTTAAAAGCCTTTTTCAATTAAATGATGCAGGAGGTAGAAAAAAGAAGGAAGCTCCGTTTACAGGCTACAGCGTAAAATCTGCAGTGGAGCTTTGTGCTCCATCACAAGTTGCTCCTCAGCATCACTGCTCACCTTGCCCTAACAAAGGACAGTGGTACCCAGGGTACTGGCAGAGCTCAAGGAGCCTCCAAAAAACAACAAAAAAAGACAACCCCCCCAGTATTTGTCTTCCTTGGGATGCTCAGCACAAGCGTCTGTAAGCAAAGGCAACAGAAGGGGCAGGCAGGGACTTCA